TTGTATTCAGTGTTACACAATAAACCAGCTCCTTGTTCAGCTGTTTTTCAAGAAACCTGCCTCTTCAATTCAGATGAATAAAATAAACACGTTGAGTTTCCATCCCACCTGACCCCGGCTTTACGTGTTTCTTCATTGCCTGTCACCTCAGGTGGCTCAGTCCTGTTACTGCACACTTCAGGAAGTGGATAGAGATTGGCATCAAGACAAACTGAGACCAGGCCAAAAGGAACTTGGAGTGGGAGAAGGTAGCATGCCTGACCTTGTGTGCAAGTTTGGGCAGGTTCTGTCCCTCTACACTGGGAGGGACTGCAAGTTAGTGATGTGTTTTTCTTATTAGCATTGGTAGTTCAGGCTTTGGTCTGGCATTCTGAACTCAGGGCTCGATCTGCTGGTGTCTTTCTGAGCCTAGGCAGGTGGCTTGACCTGTTTAGGCTTTAGTTTCCTAAACCAAGCAAGAGTGTTTTGAGGTTTGAATGTACCAGGTGATTCTGTATATATAACCTGGTACACAGTGTCTGGACATGTGGTCACCAGGGGGCAGGGCAGGTGCAGTGAAGTGAGGTTTTCTTCCAAAGCCTTCCTCAGCCAGGGCCTGGCCTATCACCAAACCAGACCTGTTGTCTCAGTGTAGAGGGGCAGCTGGAAATGGCCTTTAGGGGAGATGAGCACCTGATTAGATGTTGCTCCTTATTTGAAACCAGTGGTATTGGGGTGAATACCAAAGTTCTTACATAGCCCCTTGCTGACCCCTCTGCTCTGTCTCCTCCACAGCAGACACTTTCTAGATTCCTTATATCTGTGCTCCTGCCCAGGTCCTTGCATGTGCTGTTGAAACACCTGCTTGTACCCCACCCTTGCAGTGATACCTTTGCTACTACTGCCCCACCATCTATCTAGTCCTAACACATTATCTTCAAGCTAACTCATATCAGTGGAGGGTAAAAATGTACCTGATTCTTGAGTCCCTACAAGGGGAGGGAATTGCATAGCATGTGGCAGTTGCTCAGAAGTGTTTTCTCATGTGAGCAGTTACTAAATTGTAAACAAAGAAAGGCTACCTGGGGAAGTAGACTATCTTTCTTTACTTTACAAATTGCCTTCAGGCTCTAGACAGTGACCAGGAGTCCCAGTATTCAGAAACATGTGGATGCCTCCGCCACACATTTCCTCCTGAATGGCTTGTATTGTCTCAAGGTTTCTCTCTGGGGGTGGGGTTCTGTGTGCAGATTGGAAAACAGTTTCACATGGGCTTTGTCCAAATCACCCAGGCGTTGGATACCTATTACTGTGCCAAGCGCCATGCCACTCTTGAGTGCTCCTTGACCTCCCAACAGGCTCTGAAATTTACATAATGTGGAGAGTCAACTCCAGGTGTTTCCTATGTACAGCTTTGGCAACCTGCTAGATGTTCAGCTGCGCTCCCTGTGTTTCCTCTAACCCAGGTGAGCAGAAAGGACCTACGTGCATAGAAGTTTTCCCGTGGCTACTTTCAGAGTATTGCTTTAACTTGAACAATAAGACCAAGACTTCATTCCTCTTGCAGACAATGCCATTCCCCAGGTGAGGATGACATCATACTGTGTTGTTACATCATCAGGCTACACCATAATTTTCAAACGCTGAAAACAAGCGTAGGGAGTATCTGTGTAGGGTATGGCTATAGGCATAAGATTGTCTCTTCCAGGAATTCCATTTTTAGGGCTGTGTGTGTGTGTGTGTGTGTGTGTGTGTGTGTGTGTGTGTGTGTGTGTGTGTGTGTGTGTGTGTGTGTGTGTGTGAGGGGGGGTTCTCTCGTAGTTCAGATTGGTTTCAAACTCATATGTACCTCAGGAGGCTTTGAACTCCTATCCCCCAAGTGCTGTAATTACAGGTGTGAGCCAATATGTGTATGGGTCTCAGTTTCAGAGCTTTTTTTGTGTGTGTGAAGTAACCAGAAATAAGGATCAACGTTTATTCTGCAAAGGTTCTCATCATTGAACATTATCATGATGTTGAGAATGAGGAACAAAGCCACAGGTGGGATTGAGTATAAAATGGCACATTTACACATCAGGTCAAGGAGTCATGTTGCAGGAGAACAGCCTATGTGGGCTGGAGATGTAGCTCAGTAGAACAGTGTTTGCCTGCTACTTATGGGCCTTGGGTTCTGACCCAGGTACAAAACAACAAAAAAGAATTCATGTCAAAGAAAAAGGCTGACAAGTATGGGAACTGAAAAACACACATGCTTACAGTGATCACCTCTAGGGGGTAGGATGGTACAGGTCTCATAGGTCTCTTTTTGGAACTCACTCTCTAGACCAGACTGGCCTCAAACTCAGAGAGATCTTCCTGTCTCTGCCTTCCGTGTGCTGAGATCCATTGCCAGTTTCTAAAGACTAGATAGTCCAATACATTTTCTGCTTATTTCCTGCCATGTTCCCATTGGAACCAAGCCCCTTTTCCCCAGCCACCACCTCAGGGCCTAGCAAGACATGAGGGAAAGCTGTATTTTAAACTCTTGTGGGAGCCAAGCCTGGTGGCACACTCAGGAGCCTGAAGCAGAAAATTATGAGTTCAAGGACTACCTAAGTAACTTAAGGAGATCTTGTCTCAAACAAAAAGAGGGACTGGAGTTATAACTCAGTGGATCTATAAGGCTTGAGCTCAGTCCCCAGTGCTGTAAACTCTTGTAGGGCGATCTTATGTGTTGCTATTCTTATGTCTTGCTTGCGTATGTGATTCACTTTCTGGACATCCTGACATATGAAACAGGAAACCCAGGACTTTGCCCTGTATAGGAGACTCCCCACTGCATCCATTCTCACTCAACAGTTAGATTAATGCCTCCAAACCACATGTTGACATCTGAGCCTTTCTGAGGGCAAGATCTGATGCCTCAGCTTAGCCCCCAACCCCCTCTGCCTTGTCTCAGCACCTGTCACATCTGTGGCCTTCCAGCCATGTGCTCTGTGCTCTCAGGCTTACCCCTGCCACATCAGGGCAGACACAGTCCAGGCCTCCTTCCCACAGCCTTTACCAGCACTTCCTCTTTCTAGCATCTTCTGCCATGTCCTACCCCTACCTTCCTGCTAAGGGTCTGTCTCGCTCATCAGTTCAGTGAGGTCCCAGAATCAATATGCCTGGGTGACATTTACCACAGTTCTCAAGAGCCTGGCACAGTGCATGGTGCATAGTAAACATTCAAATTAAAAAAAAAAATCATTTTTGAGCTGGTTTCCAACTCTTCTTTAACTGTTAAACTAACTCTCATGGAAAGAGAATTTTGATAAGGCTGCATGGGAAGACCATCATGTGTGATGGTGTGGGTGGGAAAAACTCCTGAGCTCTCAGTAACCAAGTGGAGGCCCTTTAGTTAGTATTTTTAATTTAAAAAAAAATGTGTGTGTGTGTGTGTGTGTGTGTGTGTGTGTGTGCGCGCGCGCGTGCACGTGCACGCGCCTGTATGTGCATGCACAGCTTGCATTCAAGTAACCAAGGAAGCCAGAAGAGGGCATCAGTCCCCCATTACAGGTGGTTATAATAAACAGGGTGTGGGTGGCGGGAACCAAAGCCCAGTTGCAAAAACAGCTGACCCATCCCACCAGCCCCTGCTTAATTAACACTGTTTAACTTTATTACCACAGCTGGCAGCAGAGAGGGATTTTTCCACCTCGAAGGGAGGGTAGGGTAAGAGTTTCTTGGGGGAAAGTTTGAGGGCAAGGGTTTGGACATGGACTTTGCCCTGGGCAATGGAGTACCATGCAGTTTCCTGACCACCACTGGGGTTCTATTGAATGAGCCTTCTTGAAACCAGAGTGGACCGAAAGGGAGTCTGTTCAAGATGCTTTATTTCTGGCCCCAATGAGAGACTGCCCAGCACTGGGAGACCAAGAGCTTGCAGCAAGCAGCAACAGTGGCTTTGAGAGATGTCCATCTGGCTGGGAGAAAATTCTGAACACTTCTTTCTAGCCAGGGATGCCACCAGGAACCTTGACTCTTACTGGAAGAGTCCTTTCCAGTGGGGGTGGCAGTTAGTGCTCAGGCAGGGATCATTAGGAACTCTCAGAGCACCTTGTGCCTTAGCCAGCAGCCCCCCGGGCATCTTAGCACCTTGGGCCACAGCTCTTCCTCTGTCTTACAAGACTCCAAGGGCCCATATCCATAAATGAGGGCTGGCTTTATCTAGGATTCAGTATCTACATGATACTGAATGAATTAATTTTCAAAACCAGCTTTATTTAGATTGTTACGTTTATTTCTTCATGGGTGACCCAGGCCACCGGTGGCTTGGTGCAACTCTTACTGTGCCCAGCACCTACTTACAAACCCCTCGATTACTGAGAACCTGCTGTGTCCATGCTATCTCCATTTTCATCTCCAGACAGGGAAAGGGTGAATTGGACAAAGCCTAGCATGACCAAGATTAAGCCTAGCGGAGGGCGTGGAGGCTCCAGGCTCAGACTCGGGTCCAAGCTCTCCAGGGCAAGCTCTGTCACTTGTGCATGAGCTTGGATCGCGACCCAGAGCCGCCCCCACCGGCTCTTCTGTGCTGTAGTGAACTTTTCAGTCCTTTTCTTACCCTCCAGGGACCCTACGGCCAGCCGTGAGACGCGAGGGCACCCAGCCTTCGCTGCAAGTCTCCAAGTCTGAAGTCGGTCCTCAGTCGGCTGCCAGGCCTGCCCCGCGGGGGTCCCAGGCCCGCCTCCCGCCCACGTGGCCCGCCCGGCCTCCTAGGCTCCCGCCCCGCCCCGCCCCGCCCCGGGCAGCCGTCCCTGCAGTCACCGCCACGGCCCTGTGCTCCAGCCCGGCAGGGCCCAACCAGCAGCATGCAGAGGTGAGAGCAGCAGGCACGTCGCGTAGGGTCCCACGGCCACCCTAGGGTGCGCCGAGTGGACAGTGCCACCACCTGCCTCTGCCAGCCTCCGCTGCTGCCGGGGTCCCCAACTTCTGCCCCCTGGGAGCAAGTTCCTGGAGCTACTTCCGGGGAAGGAGGCGCCACCTGTCTGGGGCACACCTTTTGACGGATTTCTCCAGGTCAGTGTCGCGAGGTCAGTGTCTCTGGCCGCTTGTCAAGGACCAAGGTGCCACCACAGCCAGCCAGGATCCTTAAACTGGAGTCAGCGTCTTTTAAACTGAGCAGTGGATTGTCCTGAGATGGAAGGCGCCCGCCCAGGGCTTTAAGGTGATTAAGAATGCCTTGTAGTCAGAGACTAGAGAGCACTTTCTGAGGGTGGAAATGGATGTGGTTCCCTAGGGCTTTGCGTGGTGGAGGGCTGCCAGGGACTGTAGCTGCTATCTCATCCTGGCTGGAAAGTTGCGGGAACAGAGCGGCTTGTTCCTCGAGACCTGGTTTGCTCGGTTTATTGCCTGGACCAGGCTTGCTTCCAGAACCTGGCAAGGATGTGAGGACTGCCAAAGAGTAGTTGTCTGGAATGCACCGGTGCAAACTGGAAGCATTTCTTGCACTACACAGGTGTATGTACACCGTGTTCCCTAGAGTGTGGAAGAGTACTCTGCTGTGCTTGTGATGACTGTGTTACAATTATGTTGCACGTCTATGCTTCATTTTGTCATCTGTAAGAGAGGGTGATACTAGCATAAGCTTTAAAGATCTCATGAGGATTGGCTCCAGGTGAATTCTCTGTGTGTGGGTGGTGGTCTTGTTATGGCCCACAATGTCAGTGTCATAGTGGGCTCACTCTTCTGCTTCCCAGTAAGGTGACATGCAGGTCAGTGTCCCTTCTTCTCTTGCTTGGGATCTGACCTTATGTACTCAGCATCACAGTACCCTGATCAGATTAGAAAACTTGGCTTTGCAAGAATGCCTCCTATAGTTAACCAGTTTGGTTGTATCTGAGAGTGTGGTATTAGACATGACCTTTGTCAAGGATATTGCTGAGGAAATGGTCTTGGATGCTCTGGAAATTACGGGTGCCTTTGGGGGCCAGAAGGGATGAGATTTTGCTTGAATTCCGTGCAGTGTTAGGGCCCTAACCAGCTGACAACCTCTATCATTAAGTGCTGAATCTATTTAAGGGCCCAGGGGTCTGCTCTTGTCTCCATCTCTGCCACTCTTTCATCTAAATCGGAATGAATGCCCTCTTGCATCATGCGTGTCTTCCTGGGCTGCACCTGTTTAGTTCTTTTCTTGAACTTCACACATGAGTGCTGAACCAAGGGTCCTGGAACCCTCTTGAAATTGACACATACTCCAAGAGGCCTGTGTGCCACTAATGGGTAACAGCAGGTCCTCACCCCGCCCTAGGACAGACCTACAAATTTAGGGAGTGCAGATGGTACCGTGTGCTGCTGTGTGTGTCTTCTCAGAGCACACTTACACATAGGAGATTCATGTCTGCCCAAACATGAGAAACCATGGCCAAACAACTATCTGGGCAAAGACAATGGCAGGCCCTGGGTTAGGGATCATTAGCATTTGTGGGGTCTGTAGGTAGGGTACAACTAATGGAAATCTGAGTTTGGGGTGTCTAAGCCTCCCAAATGCTAGAATACCAAGTGTGAGCCACTGATTCACAGGTTGAGAGCCTTTAGAAGTAGTAGTGCTAAAATCCTTTGATGGCAGGGAACTTAAAACCTTCTGGCATAGCTGGTTCCATTGAAAGAAAGTTGTGGGGACAAAGGATGAGCAACCCACACCCCCCTGATGAGGATGAGATGTTGCCTCCATACTTATACTGCTCTTGTCCTTTCTGTGTATTTTCTTTCCTAATTATCCTTCCATCCATATCTATCTAAGGTTAAGGTTGCTGCTGTTTGCACTTCTTGCTAACCCTGAGGTCCCTGTGCCCCAACCAGAACTCAGGATGCCACTGAGCCCTGTGTAAGCGTGGGTGGGAGAGGAGGAGGAAGAAAGCAAGGAGATGCTCAGGAGGGTGAGGCAGGAGCATCAGGAGTTTAAGGCCAGCCTGTCTCCAGAAACCAAGATGAATGGTGGGGAAAGGTGCAGGGAGGAAAAAAAAAAAAAAAACAAACCAAAAAACAAAACAAAACAAAAAAACCCAAAAGTTATTGCCGTAATTTAGAAGCCCTCAAGGCCAAAATCTGCAAATTCTCTGTCACTCAGGCCCCTGATAGTGCACTGAGGGTGGGGAGTTGGGGCTTTGTTTTTTTTTTTTTTAATTTTCTATATTTGCATTTCCTATTCTTTTACTGGTCTTTTCTGAATTATTCTTTGATCAACTTATTCATTGTAGTCTTTACTGTACTTACAGAAAATCAACTTTGAACTCATTTTTTAAAGGTTTCCTGAAAGTATTCTGTGATTTTTGTAACCTGGTGTCTGTAATCAGAGAGGGGAAATGAAGTACCTGTGTGCAGTTCTGATTCATTGAAGTTTCTTCTTGGGAGATACACACACACATGTACACACACACAGAGGACTGAGAAGTAGCATTTTATTTGTTTGTTTTGTTTTGAAACAGAGTCTTGATACATAGTCAGGCTGGCCTCGAACTGTCCATCCTTCTTGTTCAGCCTCTTGAGTGCTGGGATTACAAGTATATACCGTTGGCAAAGATTGTTCTTGTGTTTGCTTTATTTGAGATAGGGCCTCACTCTGTGGCATGGGGAAACCTGGCACTCACTGTGTATCCAGGCTTGTCTTGACTTTGTGGTAACCTTCCCAGCTCCTCCTCTCAAAATCTAGGTTTATAGGCATACACCATCACGGTTGCTCTTGTATTTCCATAGGGGCTTGACCATGTAGTTTAGCTTACTGACTTCATTCACTCAAGCAGTGAGATGGAGGATTGGGCATACAGCTCAGTGGCTGAGCATTTGCCTTGCATGAAGCTCCAGGTTTAATCCCCAGCATCACATAGGAAAAATACCTTTGAAGGAGACTCTAGCTAGACCCTGTTTTGGTGCTGAGTTCCCGTTGTCCAGAACACGGCAGTGTTTTTCCTACTGGAGTTGGCAGCCCAGTGGCCGAGACAAGCAGTAGACAACTAGATGTAGAGATGACTCAAGAGTGATGGTGATATGGAAATGACAGTAGGGAGGGGTCCCTAAGTGGTGGCATGGAGGCACAACTGGTTTGGTAAGAGAAGGTGCACTTGAGTAGAAGCCTAGATGTATGAGCCTGTGGATATATAGGCAAAGACAATGCACAATGCATATAATGCCCAAGGATATGGCCTTCCTTTCTTCCTTCCTTCCTTCCTTCCTTCCTTCCTTCCTTCCTTCCTGCCTGCCTGCCTGCCTGCCTGCCTTCCCTTCCCTTCCCTTCCCTTCTTCTTCCTCCTCCTCCTTCTCCTCCTCCTTCTTCTTCCTTCTTCTTCTTTCTTCTTTCTTCGTTTGTATTTTTTTGTTTTTTTGAGACGGCTTCTCTTTGTGTATCCCTGGCTATCCTGGCACTCACTCTGTAGACCAGATTGGCCTTGAATTCACACAGATCTGCCTGTCTCTGCCTCCCAAGTGCTGGGATTAAAGGATTAAAGGTGTGTACCACCACTCCCTGGCTGGTTTTTTTTTTTTTTTTTTTTTTTTTTTTTTTTCTGTTATCTAGGCAGGGTTTCTCTGTGTAGCCCTGGCTATCCTGGCACTCTCTCTGTAGACCAGATTGGCCTTGAACTCACACAGATTTGCCTGCCTTTGTGCCTCCTGAGTGCTGGAATAAAAGGTGTCCGCACTCAGTGAATAAGTGTGAATAAGACCTCACATTTCTGTCTAAATGCTGGGGTTACAAGTGTGAGTGACCTCACAGAGTTTATATGGTGCTGGGGATTGAACACATGGCTTTGTGCACGCTAGGGAAGCATTCTACTACACATTTTCAGCAAGTCTATCATCTCTTGAGCACAGGGCCAGTCTGGTTGACTTGAGAAGGAGAAGGGAAGGAGGCAGTGTGGGAAGAGGCTGTTTCCTGGCCCTAGCCAATGGCGCACTGTGATGTTGTGTGGGAAGGCTGGTATCTTCTTTTACCTTGGGCTGTCAGCTCTGCACCCATGCAGAGTTGGTAGGCAGACAGATCTTCCCAGGTGATTTGTTGGGAGGCAGTGATGTCAGAGAAGAAGCTGGTGGTTCTAAAGTTCTCCTAAAGGGCTCACTTCAGTGCACAGCCCACTGCTTCTGTTTGGCCAGGTGGCCATGGAGTGATGCTAGTGCTCAGTGAAGAGTCATGGGATATGAGGGATGCCTGGACCTCTGGGCAGTCATAGGACACAAGGCTGGGGGAGTCAATGCCTTCATTCCCTGCATGTCTCCCGACCTTTCAAACGTTGAGACAAAGGTAGATGTGAAAGGTAGGCTGTCATAGGTGGCCAGATTTGGAGGACAGGGGAGGTTCACAGCCTCTGAGGGTCATGCATCCCTGACACCTGGCTGCCTCCATGTTTTTCATGGTCTTTAGCTGTCTCCCAGTCACAGTGATCATCAGAATATCCTAGAGAGAGTCTTGCTGAGGTGGCAGAAACCTCAGTGGCAGCCTCCTCCTGGCTGTTGTTCCTGTTGTCCCCATTCCTTGCCTGTTCTTTACCCACCCCATATCTGTCTCCTCTCATATTTCCTTTTGGCTAGAAAACAAATACTCTTTAGCACAGTCAATTCTGACCATATTCATGCTATATACAACTAAAAGTTGTAGAGTAGAGCCAGGTATGTACCTGCTTGCCTGTAATCTCAACACTGAGGAGGTGGAGGGGTCAAGAGTTCAAGGTCATCCTTGGCTACAGATTGAGTTTGAATTTGAAGCTGTCCTGAATTCCATAACAGCCTGTAACGATCACATGAACTCTGTAAAATAAAAAATGAAATTCCTCTTCTTCCACCTGGTTGTTTCCCGTGAAAATGAGTGTGCACATTTATATGTGGATGGGTTACCTGTGAGTATCATTGTGTGTGTGTGTGTGTGTGTGTGTGTGTGTGTGTGTCTGTGTGTATACATGTGCCATTGTATGTGTGTGGAGAGCAAGGAACAACTTGTGGAATGGGTTCTCTCCTTTTCCCTTGTGGGATTAGGGGAATGAACTCCAGTCTTCAGGCTTGATGGTAGGTGCCTTTACCTACTGCCCCATCTTTAAAAACTGTCACACTGGCATTGTTTAATTTTTCTCCATTTAGCTGGTGCTCTGTCTGTCCACATGTAGCTAAAGCTTCACATAAATGTGTATGAGCATATATCTAATTTCTCCTGTGTATATACAAAGCAGTTATCTTTTTACT